TCGATGCAATCAATGTATTGATAGATGTAGAGAAGAATCCTGTGTGTTATTTGATTTTATGGATATTTAGGATATTTGAATTTATGGATATTGAGAAGAAAATGTTCTATGCGATGCAGGTTGCAATGATGATGTAGATCTTGATCTGGAACTCTCAGTAAGAGATCAGTATGTAAGAGGGAGAGAAAGGAAGAGAAGAGAAGAAGATATGAAGGGAAATAAAGAAGAAATAAGTGGAGAGCGAGAGAGAGAGGTGGCGTGAGACAACCTTAGACATAATTTGTGGCATAGTATGTTAAGTTGGGCTGGTCACACTTAGATCGTATTGAGCTAGAGATAATTACAAAAATATGCCCTTGTTCAAATAAATAACTCACATTATTCCTTAATCCTTACTAAATAAAGTATTTTGTTTATGCCGCTGAGTTGCTATTGCACTTTCAATGCTTCCCCTCAAGCTGGAGAATAGATATCAATCATGGCCAATTTGACAAAGTACAACCTTTTGTTTGTCATGTGCAGCTGGTTTTGTAAAGATGTCTGCTTGTTTGTCTCTCAATTTCACATGAATACAAATAATTCAAGTTGCTACACTATCCCATTATAAATTCATGGTCCACTTCGATATCTGTTGTTCTCTCATGATATGTAGGGTTCTTAATGATGTAGATGGCTGCTTCATTATCACAATGAACTGATGAAGGTTGGGTGGTAAATGATCTTTAAGTCTCTCATCACCCAGTATAATCCTAAGCCACATAATTTACAAGCTCCTTGCTCCATAGCTCTTTATTTTGCTTCAACTCTTGACCACTAATTTTTTTTTTTTTATAATAAATCTCTTTAATGAGACCAAATTAACACCGATAAAGTAACAGTAATATTTTCTCATCCTTCCATCAGTCTTTGGGCCAGCCCAATCGGCATCAGTGTAGATTACGATACCCAGTGATTATGATCGACAATTAGGAATCCTCCCCCTGGAGATGACTTGAGATACTTTAGGATGCAGTAGACAATTTCTTAGTAAGGTTTGCATGGGGCATACTGTAGTTGATTAACTGCACTAACTGCATAACTTATACCTGGTCGTGTAATTGCATGGTGTTTAGATTTACACAATGACCTACCATAGGTTGTCGTACATTAGTTGCTTCTTACTTCACCATGTCCCCAGATTTCCACCAATAAATGTGGGACAATCTATGGTACGCTGTTGTCAGATGGAGAACCTGCCTAATCGGCATCTGAGTAATCTTAAATTGTGAACTGATTGTTTGACTTGTAAATTTGACCTCTACCTAGAGCTCCCTTCAAATAGCTCGATTTTACAAACAACATCCCAATGAGGATTTGTTGGAGAGTGCATAAACCGACTGACTACAGTTGCTACAAAAGCAATATCACGCTTAGTAATGATCAAATAAATCAACCTTCCTACCAGTCTTCTGTACCTCCTTGGATCCTAAAACAACTCCCCCTATCAGCCAATAATTTTGTATTTGAATCCATAGGAGATTTCACTTGGTTTTGCCTCCAACTTTCCAGTGTCAATCAACAAATCAGTCACATGCTTTCATGGTGACAAGCTAATGCCATGCTTTGATCCGGCTACTTCAGTTCCTAAAAAATAGCTTGGCTTGCCAAATCCTTTGATTGAATATATCATTTCAGTTGCCTCTTCAAATGATTGATTCCTTCTTGGTCATTGCTTGTGATGACAATATCATCAACATATACAACTAAGAAATATCATGGAGTCCTATTTCCGGATAACTGGAGAATGTTTTCCATACGGTTGTTTTGAAATCCACATGCCACAATAATTTCACTAAATTTCTTAAACCATGCACTTGGGGACTGCTTTAGACTGGAAATGGATTTCTTCAACTTAACATACCTTATCTGACTCCCCTGAACAACAAATCCATGTGGTTGCACCATATGCACCTCATCTTGTAAATCAGCATGAAGGCTTTCTTTACATCAAGCTGCCACAGTGGCCAGCTCTTGTTTGCTGCTATAGATATAACCACTTGAACTAAATTAAGTTAGACAGTAGGTACAACAGTTTCGGAGTAGTCATTGCCAAAGGTTTGGGAGTATCAGCCAACCTCGCTTTTAATCTCCGGATTACATAAACCCAGCACACCCAACAGTTCTTTCTCTAGCTTGCAACTCTGTGATATGTATGATTTTAGTTGAGTGCATTCATTGTCCTTTCCATTGCTTTCTTCCACCTAGTATGAGTAACAGGATGTTGAGTACATTACCTTATACCTTTATAGATGGAAATTGGTGTATTATCATCACTCTACACCGAAGAAACCCTTGTAGAGAGAAAGAAACCTCCAAAAAACTACATTTCATTGGATCGAATCATCAAAGTATTTCTCAAAGTTTGGAGTTCGAGCAACCAAAGTTAAGTGCATTTTTTAGATTGCTTGTTTTATTTTGAGCTGTCTTCTTCAGGAGTTAGTCGGAATGGAGATCCGGGTTGGAAATATGGATACAACCCAAATCCAAATGACAAAATTGCATTAGATGCAATTTTTGTGAAAAAGATACAAAAGGAGGCATAAACCAGTTCAAGAAACATCTTGCCGATATTAAGGTGGATGTTGCCCCTTGTAAAAATGTTCCTGAAGCTATCAGAGAGGAGATTAAGCAATTTATAAGTTATGTAAAACCAAAACAAGAACAAAATCCTTGTCATAGATCTATTTATGCTACTCCTAGAAAAAGTGATTTGGGTTGGAAGTATGGGTACAACCCAAAATCAAATGATGAAAATTGTATATGGTGTGATTTTTGTGAAAAAGATACCAATGGGGGTATTAGCCGATTCAAAAAAGACCTTGCTGGTGTTAGAGGTAATGTTGCTTCTTGTACAAAGGTTCTTGAAGAGTTCGGGATGAGATTAGACATCTTCTGAATTTTGAAGAACCAGAAAAGGATGAAAATAAGCCTTGTTCTATGAAGTATTGTCTCCAGGTTCTAGACGAGGTGGTGATCTGGGCTGGAAGTATGGTTATAACCCGAATCCAAGTGATAAAAATCATATCAAATGTAATTATTGTGGAAAGGATACTAATGGGGGCATTTACCGGTTTAAAAAACACCTTGCTAGTATTTTTACAAGGGGCAAATGCCCCTTGTAAAAATATTCTTGAGGCTACCACGGAGTAAATTATACAATATTTGAGTTCAGAGAAGCGCAAAGAAAAGGGTAGAGCAGCGAAGACTCCTAGGGCCTCATCTGCACAGACTAGTAAGAGGAAGTTAGAAGAAGAGGAGGAGGAAGAGGCAGATTCAGAAGAAACAGAGGAGGACGGCGTTATATTGAAGAGGGAGATGACTCTGATGATGATGGCCTCGACTGTGATGCATATGATGAGGCTTGCCCTATTGATATTCTTTCTGATGATGATGATAATGACGGTGACTAAAGACTCTTGCCTATTGCTGCTGATTGTTGAGTGTCGAGTCTGTTGATTGTTGTGTTGAGTCATGAGTGTTGACTTTTGTTATATATTATATTTTCGAAATTTTTGTTCTGTTGAGTGTGTACTTTTATATCCTACCTACACTTGTATGGTTTTACAGTTTACTGTTTTAACAATATGGATTATCAAAATTCTCTTCTCAACGTCCATTTTTTTTTTTTTTCAACTTGGAATATTGTATTATATTGGTAATTTGGTATGATTTTTACTTTTTTTTCTAATTTCAACTGGCAGCCGCCTTGGTTCTGGGCTCCCGCCCAGGTGCTGGGCGGCCTGGACCCGCCTAGCGCTTTTTTATACACTGGTGGAGTGTTATAGAAGAGAACAAAATGAGGTGTTTTTCTTTTCAAAATTGGAAAGGTCATACAACTAATTAAATAACATGAGGTCAGCAATGCATCTCCCTAATAAACTTTTGAAACATATATATAATTAGCAAAGTGGGGCTTACTTCAAGCAAATATTGATTTCTTCTTTCAGCAACCACAATTTGTTGAGGAGTATGCATGCAAGAAGTTTGATGTAAAATTCCATTTTGAGCAATCAATTTTGAAACTTTTCGAAAAGATACTCTTTAGCATTAACAAAATGTAAAACACACATTCTTATTCGTATTGAGTTTGGATCTCCTTGTGAAACAATGTAAAAATGGAGAAGACAAATGAAAGAGGGAAGATTATTAAAAAGGAGGAAATATTTATGATAGAAAAGAAAAGCAAGACGGAAGAAAGGGATTATTGCTTTGATACCATATTTGAGAAGGGAGAGAGAGATGAAAGGAAAGAGGGAGAGAAAAGGAGAGTAACGTCAGAGTCTCAGGTGGGTCTCATGCACCTCTCACATCAATTTTATATTAATAAAAAATAGTCAAAGGGGGAAATGACTATAGGGATTAGAAAAAGGACTTTTGATAGAAACCAGCAGGCAAACTCTTATACCCAGCCCCAAAAGAAATTATGTGCTTCTTGTATTCTGTGACTGAATGACTCCATCATCACCCTAGGATATCCCTTTGTCCTTCCCATTTCTTCCGCTATGGTGGTGACGTCCTTTTCGTTTTGGTACTATTCCATTTTTCCATACTATATTTTTGGCCGTCAGCTTGTCTCAATTGGTATGAGACGGTTGTCTATCTCTTGATATTTCGAGCATGTATTAGTTTGAGTACTATAATCGTATATCTTTTGGAACTTTTGGATAAATGCCATTGATTTTAGTTTATCATGCTAAGATGAAAATAATTTATTGGGTTTGCTCTTTTTCTTCTGAAATTTTTGATATTTGTATCTGGTTTCCATTTCTTGTATGCAGAAAGAAGTGGATCCTGTACATTTGATGGAAAAATTGGCCAAGCTTCATTATGATCTGAGTTTTAGTGTCTGAATAATGTTTACAAGTGCAGTCAAACTTGAAATTCTTGCCATTCTAATTGAAATAATAAAGTAATCTACCAAAAAAATAAGTGTAATAATAAAGTTTTTTGTTTGTCATTAGGCAAATGAAAATTTGGGGAACTTCATATGAAAAGCAGAAGGAACTCAGCAAGATGTTAGATGAATGGTGAGCGAATGATCTTTTCTTTATTTTATTGTCATCAATTCTTGGAATCATGTTTTACTGTTTCTGCTTTTTGTTATTTTTTTTTTTTTTGAGAGTGATGTTGTTACATTTCCTAATTGGCTTTATACTTGGATTAAAATACACCTCATTTTAAAAATGTTATCATCTTGTTATTCAGGGCTGTATACATCCGAAGAAAATGTGGCAGCAAACAGCTGTCTTCAACTGTATATCTTACTGAAGCAGAACTCTTCCTTGAGCAATATGCTCGGCGGAGTGCTCAAAATCAGGCATTAATTGGATCAGCTGGCAATCTTGTTAGTGCTGAAGATTTTCTTGCCGTTGTGGCAGGAGGGCGGGATGAAGAGGGTGATCTTCGTCTAGAGGATGAGATACCACCTTCCAGCCCTGGTACTACAATGTTAGACACAGTTCCAAAGCATGAGGGGGTCATAGTATTCTTTCCAGGTAACATAACCTTCTTATGTTTCCAAGTAGTCATTTATTTTTTTGTTTATAATTGTTATGTCCCAAGCTTTGTTGATGAATAAGTTGGGAGCAATCAATAGAATTAGAAAGTTGCTAGTGTTAGAAAGGCTTTGAGATGCTTTGAGATAGAGAAAGGTTTCCTCATGTCTCATTGTTTATGCACACTCTTATTGTCAATCTGATTTACTCCTCTTTCTCTCTCTCTTTCTATTTACGCTACACAGACACACTGAAGATATAATCGAACACATCCACAGGTGCTTATATATATTATACACGGATTTGTGTGCTCAGGCTCTCATACATGAACACAGAATGCATACAAATGCACATGTAGGACCTGTTTGGACTTACTCATTATTATTGATAACTCACTGTTCTAATAAAATTATTCCTGATAATGAATTATCTATTTCTTGACACGATCCTTCATAAAGTTACCTGAGACAAGCTTATTGGCAGTTCTGCATATAGTTTATCTTTTTGGGAGGCTGTTTTTAGTTTATTCAAGGTAATTTGCTGAAAGTCATATGTTTGGGCCAGAAATAGCTAAACACATTACTCAGGAGTTTGTTAAATAATGGATGTGCGTGTGTGGGTGGGTGCGTGCGTGTGAGATTATCGAACATCCCAAAACTCCTAAAGCCAGCGAAAAAGTAAAAAAACTCCTGAATAATGTAGACAACGGATTCTTTAGGAGAGAATTTTGTGAACACCAGGTGTCCGTTTTAGATCTAGGCATCATGAGCTCAGACTCATTTGTTTTCGTAAATTGTTCATCTATTGTTGATGATGATGTCTCCAAAATCTGGGTTGAACAATTCCTCCTAAGGCCTCTATTCTAACATCGTTTTTTTTCTTTCCCAGTACAATCTGTACTCATTGCATTTAATCTCAGATCAATAAAAAACTACATTTTGGATTTTTTTATCATAATCTTTTCACAAGCTTGTTCATTGAATAGGAGTCATATACGAAATTTGGGTTCAAGCAAATCTCCTAGATAGGTTTCTTGGAGTTTTTGAGCCATGACCTAATGTTATAAAAATGGGCTATTACCTATTGGGAGTATGCATGCTGTGTGTGTCTGTGTTTGTGTGAGAGAGAGAGAAAGAGAGAGTAGACAATCACAGTTGCCCAGAGTCCAAATTTTTGTATATGGCTTGCTCTCTATTGCTTTGCATTTTTGGTGAGTAGTTTGATGCTTATTATATTCTACGATTTCTAGTCTGGTTGTCACAATTTTGACACGACACAAGCTGTCCTTTTCAGGGCTTGTTATTTTTGTGCTAAAATGATAGCAAACTTCAAACAAGGAGGCCCAATTTTTCATAAAATAGTAATGCTTATGATTGCTGTTTGTTGTCAATGAATATGTAAGATTAGTTGTTTAAGAGTTAAATATCACTGTTTATAAATAGTTGTTCTGCTTGTGGTCAGTGTGCTTTAAATTGGTATGGTTAAGAATGTATTACTGTTGAATAATTTCTTGGAAAATAATTAGTCTCAATTTTCTCTACTAGATGTATAATTATGTGGCTGAACTGCACGTTTCTAGCAAAACTTGCAACTCAAAGCACAAATTTTATTTTTTTAGCATCCTGAACGTCGCAATGATGGCCTGAGTTAGCCTGTCAACCTGTGTAGAATAATTTGCATAAATTGATCCATATGTTTACAGTGTATTATTCTTTTAATTCTTTCTAAGTATGTGACTGTTGTGTTCAGGATGTTAGTTACGTGACAATTACTGTGTTGAAAAGGGGGAAAAATAATATACAATGTTGATATGTGACTATTTCTGTGTTTAGGATATTACTATCTTTTGTCCTCTGCATTTATATATACAAAAGTCTTTCTCCAAGTTCCATGTCTGCTGTATCACTAGTATATGTGGTAACGTATAATGCATTTTTTTTTGCCATCAGGAATCCCAGGCTGTGCAAAGTCTGCCCTTTGCAAAGAAATTCTGAATGTTCCTGGGGGACTGGGAGACAGCCGTCCTATAAATAGCCTGATGGGGGATCTTATTAAAGGTAAATTAATGTGTTCTATATGGTTGTTCATAGAATCTCTCTCTCTTTTACTTATCCCTGCAAATAATCAAATTTTGAAAGATATTCCATAGTTGTGTGTAATGCTTGTTGAACTGTTTTATTTGTGCTAGCTAATGTACAATAATGATCCCATCATTATCATCATCATCACAGCCTTTTCCAACTAATTGGAGTCTGCTCTATTTAATAATGGCCACGACTAGCACAAATTAAAATCACCCAATTAAGTATGGTGACTGACCCACTTCTACAGAAATTAGTTAAGCATAAAGAATCAATTTCAGATATTAAAACATATATGAAGTTCTTTCTTTATTCTACTAGTTTTCATGGTGATATCCCTCCAAATGTTACCATTGTTGTGGTTTAAGCTATCTTTCGGTTGCTGGGTATATTTCAAAGTTGATGTCTGGCTGCTCGAGTCATTTTTGCTGATACTTTAGTGGCTTGTTGCATGTCGTGGGTTGGCATTGGCGCGGAACAGCTTTATGTGGACAGTGAAGATCTCATATATACTCTAGCAATTGTGATTTGTACATATAGCCATTGGACATGGAAGTCTAAGTTCTGTGGTCATGAAGGCTTTCCGAGTTACTTTCATGTGAGTGCGTCCAGCTAAAACAATCTCCTGTTGCCATGATGCGTCCTCTATCAATTTGCATCAAACATGTCTATAGTCAAGCATTCAACGAAAGGAGCTTGTTGCAAATTGAGGTGATCCTAGTTACGGTCGTCATTTGTTAAGGAGCAATGCAATTTTATTAGAGGGTCCAATAGTATTTTCCAAAGCGTGAAAACATCTGCAGTAGGATGTCCATGAGTTAAAGTGGCTCTTGCTTATGTGGCTACAATTCGTGAGACGTATGGATTGGCAATGCCATGTGAGTTTGTGTGGTGGCCTTATGGTTCACATGACCAAGAGCTTCTGAACCTGGTCCAGTTCTGCTATTACGAGGGCCTTACCCTCTGCAAGTTTGCATTGGGATGACAAATTGAGTTTTACATGTCCGTAAGGTACTTTAGAGTTTTGGTACTTCCCTCAGCTAACTTCAAATTTGTTGGGGGTGGAATGCTCTAGCAGTTTCTATGGCTTCTTTCTTACATTTGGTTTGTGGGAACTGTGTGCTTTGTGGCATCTTGTTCTTCAGATACTCCGTTGACCATTTCAAGTGAAAACTGTTTTTTTTTCTTTTCCTCATGAAATCCTGCCCTAGAAGATTTTCCAAGGAGTTCATTGGTGATTGATTAGAGGCATATGGTTCTTTCCACCCTCTATAAACATTGTGATCGTATTTTCCATTGTTAAAAAATTTGAAGTCTACTTTTTACTTCTTCAGCACCCAAGGTTGTGTTGTCTTCTGTGTTCATTTTCTTGAAAAATATTGTAAATAAAAAGAAGCTTATTATTTACTACATTCTAAATGATTGAGCTATTGAATAGATTATTATTACATATGAAGGCATGTTTGTAACATATGTAAGTACTGCATGGTACATATTAATTCATTTCAGTGGTAGTTGTTTTTGTGATTGATTTTTATTACATAAGCACAAATTAAGTATACTGGAAATTATACTTAGTAATATAAACTTAGGGGATTCCTATGGCACCAGTGTTCCTACTATCCGACCCACACTTGGTTTGGAATATGAGAAACGTGTGCAAGAACTTCCGACCCACACTTAGTTTGGAATATGAGAAACGTGTGCAAGAACTTTCACCATTATACGTGGATGCTTTATGGCATAGACTTGGGTGGAATAAGGAGTCACCGTACTATTATTTAACATTCTTAGGATACCACTGTATTACATTGTTCGAAGAAACTTAATGATGCTGGAAAACATGGTACAGTGCTTTGCTCAATGGAGCGTACAGGTCGAAAAGGGGGTCAAAATGTACCAGATCCCTGCTCATCCCCACAAACTGTAGTTTTATAAGCCATAAAATTGCTTTTTAAGTGGGTTCTCCCAATGTTCGAAAATTCGGCCAAACAACCGCCTAGGCGAAAAATTTCAAAAAACACCTAGACGCTGTCTGGCAGTGGAATTATGCGGCTTGTCTCCGAGCGCCCGCCTAAGCAGGCAAGGCGCTACAGTCTGGGCACCCGCTTAGGTGCCGCCCAGTGACAGTTTGCCAAAGGGCGAAAAAACGCTCCGCGAGGGATGAAAAAATGTCATTTCGCCCCCTAAAAGGGAAAAATGGGTCTTGGGGGGTATTCTAATCTCCCAAAACAAAACCGTGGCTTTTAGGGTGAGAAAAACTCCTCAGAAAACTAATCTTTTGTGATTTATCGAAAGATCGATAAAGTTTTGATTCTTGCGATTTCTTCTCAAAACAAAGGCAATAGTTTGTGAGTGGATTTGGAACTTCTAGTAGTTGATTTTGAGGACTTTTATCAACCCAATAGAGGAAGTTTGCGCTGACATCAATTTGATTTTGATATTTTGAAAATCATGTTTTGATCAAAATAGATCCAAGTTTCTTCCACACATGAAATCGAGATTTCGTCCTAATTGAAATCGAGATTCCGATCCCGCTAGAATCGACACCCCAAGAGTCAAGATTCATTAGTATGTGGAATCGAGTTTCCAACATCTATGGAATCGAGTTTCTGAAATTAATGGATCATAGATATGTTGTTGTTTTGAATCACGATTCTAACATATTTGGAATCAAGTTTATGAAGTATATGGATTAGAGATCCATGCCAGTTTGAGATCGAGATTTACAATAATATGGAATGTGGAATGTGTTTGACGATCCCTACCAGTTATCAAAATTTCATTTTTATGGAGAAGGAAGCCACAAGGACATCCTGAGCTTCATGAATTTTAGAATATATATTGGATGTCTCTTATTTGAAGGTTTCCCAAATTTTAAAATGATTGTGTTGACTATTGAACTAACGGTCATTATATACTATCGTGTTCCCTTTGCTGTATTTTATTTTGTGTTCCTCTTCTCCCTCGCTTCTTTTTTCTTATCTTCTTCTTTCTCCCTAGGCGCCCGAATCCGCATTTTTGAGCATTGGTTAACTTGTATTAAATACCAGGGAGCTTGTGTATTTTTTTGTATTAAATACCAGGGAGGGCTATTAATGACAAGCCCAACCTTCAAGAAAGAGAGGCTTGGGCTGTATTGTAACTTTAGAAGGCTAGCTGACAATGGGAGGCTAGAGTAGGCTCCCTAGAGGAGGCAGGCCTTCAGTGAATAACGTCAGCCAAGATTGGAATGTTAATGGGCAACTGGTCCTCGGTGGATGGACTAGAGGGTGATGGGAGGTAAAAGACACCCAGATTGAGGTAGGGGTGGGCGCAGAGAGAAGGGATGAAGTATATCATTATTATTATTTTTTTTTTTTTTTGGGGGGGCCCGGGGGGGTGGGGCAGGTAGAGTATAGGTGGAGGATATACAGAGCTAGAGAAGGTGGGGGAAGGATGTTAAGTCTAGAAAAGAGAGAAGAAAAGAGAGAGAGAATGGGAAAGAGGATATGATTGTATATAAAGATAGGTAAGGTTTTTTTTTCTAATGTTAAAGGTAAATATTATAATAGTAAGGGGTCGTTTGGATACCTGGAAATATATTATCTGTGAAATATATTACTAGCGTAATGTATTACTGCGTAATACATTACATACAAATGTATTGTTACTGTTTGGGTAGTATTTAGATGCAATTTGAGAAATACATTGCTCTTACTTGACATGGTTTATTATGGAATTGTCTACATTGCACCTTAAATTTGCTCTTACTAGACATAGCGATTTAATATGGAATTGTCTACAAAGAGACCATTTATCTTTTGTACGCACAATCATTCTTATCCTTTAGATTTCAAAATGAGTGGTTGTACTAGCGTCATTGAATAAATACAAAATTTCAAAAAAAACGTTCACTTCATGACTCACCTCAAGCCATCTAATTTGACATCTAATATTTGAGAATGATTGTGACCTCCATTCACAAACAATAAATGGTCTCTTTGTAGACATTCCTATTTAAATACTACCCAAACAGTAACAATCCATTTGTGAGTGACCTGTTCTAGAAGAAGACTGACTCTAACGTCACCAGTGAGGCAAAAGATAGGGGCTTATATAATCTGCCCGTTACAAGATAGAAGACTACAATCTAGAAAGAGGAGGCCTCCCTGCCGTACTAGTGATATAAAACTCCCTGTTGTGTGCGTCTATACGTGTGTAGAAGGCTGGTTACTAGCGGCTTCCTTGGCGAGATAAAGATAGGTAAGATGGGGGGGTAAGAGAGGAAAGAGAATGTGATTGTAAAAAAGAGAGAGAGAGAGGTGAAGTTGGGTGAGATGCAAAGGAGGAAAGAGGAGAGGAGAGGAGAAAGTAGATGCAAAAGAGAGAGGGAGGGAGAGGAAGAGGGAGAGATAGATGGGGGAATTAAGTCACTGAATTGCATACCATTGTTGTTGCGACAAATTTAAGCTCTTCAGCTCTTGTTGGGACCGAAATGGAACTCTGTAGCAAAATTTATGTTCCTTCTCAGTGACAACAGCCATAGTTACTGCAATGGGTGATGACATCCACCAGAAAGGTGAACATGGGAGGAGGATTTAGAGAGAACAATATATGGAGGGGGGGGGGGGATTATGAATAGAACAATGGAATTAATGTGGCAGAGAGAGAAAGACTGGTGGTGGGTTAACCTTGGTAAAAATGGTCCCTTAGAAGATGGTATAAATGGGTTAAGAGGGTGAGTGTAAAGCAGAAATAGAAAGGTCGCTAATAAAACCAATAAAATGGGGCCAAGGCTTTTAGACTTATCAAAAGAACCATGTCCTCCTTTTTTTTTTCCTTTTTTTCTCTTCTCTTTTCTTTCCTCTTTTTCCCCCTTTTTTTCATTTTTTTTTCCTTTTTTTTTTTTTCCTTCCTTCCCTTCCCCAGTGAAGTCACAGAACACTTACAGGCCAAGGATTGCTCCCTCCCTTGCCAACCTGTCTGCCTCTGAG